TCAGACACCCCGCCTCCCTAGCTTCTGCTCCTGCCCCCGACCCCCAAACCCCCGGCCTTGCCTGCTCTGTCTCTTGCTGCTGCCTGGCCAGGCTGCCCAGACTGCGTGGAGCTCCTGAGAGACTCCTAAGAATAGCTGGGAACGAATGCCATCGACACTGATATCTGCCCTCTGCTGCGCCCATAAATGGATTGTAACCCTACACTGTGCCCGCCCGCTTAGGCCTCCCAGCCGATCCACTGTGACTCACATGGCTAATATAGCCCCTGGGGAGAAGTGTCCAGCACCCACTACCCCCCAGGGGTCAGGATAAGGGACTGGCCGGGTCAGTGATAATGCTCTTGCCTCCCTGCTCTCCTTGATCCCTCTGCCCTCTGGAGAGCCTAGATGCATGCACTCTCCCCAGCCTCACCCACACCTTTGCCCAGAACACCATAGCTGAGCTCCCTCGGCAGGGACTTTTCCACTTAGGTTATTGCTGCCCTGTGCTCACTTGTGAGAGTTTGTATCTTACCCAGTGTGCAGTCCTGATGATCCCTAGGACCAAGCTGAGCCTCCAGCTTGTCTGAACAGAGCTTCCATGCAAGAGACCAATAACCAGCCCAAGGTTGTCCAGCCATAAAAAAGATCATAATAGCAGCAGCTCTGGGTACAACCAAGCTCAGCTCCAGACCCTTCACTCTATTATCCCCTCAGATCTTGAAAGGCTACTGCCCTGGCAGGAACCAAGGATCAGAGAGGTTAAGTGACTTTTCCAAGGTCACACAGGGAGTGAACTCAGGCCACACTGGAGCATGGGCTCATTCTCATGGGACTCATGACAGATAACTGGCTTCCAGTGGGCACGGGTTCTTCCCAATGCTGGGTAGAGGGGTGGGCGGGTTGCAGGGAGGAGGCAGGGCGGGAGGATTGTGGGGGGTAGAGGGGTCCCTGCCTGCATCCCTTGGCACAGGGTCTAAAAGCAGGTTTGGGGCAGGCCCACACCCTTCAGACCCTCTAGGCGCCCAGCGGTTATTCCTGGCTCTCCTGTCTCATTTGTGTTCTGGAAAACTTGACAGCAGCATGGAAAGCTCCAGCTGCCAGTGTGGCACGCCAGGCCCTTGTGCCCTTTGTGCTGGAATGGCAAGGGGCAGGGAGGAGGGGAAGGGATGCCATCAGCTCAGCTGCTGGGACATAGGGCCAGAAGGGGCAGAGAAGGGAAAGCGTGTTTGATGTGTTCAGCCCGTAACTCAGAAACAGTGTGTTCTGGGAGGGAAGCCTAGGTACCTCGAGACTTCTGCCAGCATGGTCTTTGGCCCAGGATACTTCCAGAAACCCTTCCCCAGAAGAGACCCGAGGCCTTGGGTGGTCTGGAGATAGATTAAGGTCCACCCTGGCTCCTGGCTGGGGAAACTGAGACTCGAGGAAGGCAACTGGGCTGGCTGCTTTCTGGCCCTCCCGGAGGGCTCTGGCCTGAGCTGGGGCCCAGAGACTAAGCGCAGGGTGTGAGTAATTTCCCGGCTGCCAGAATCCTTCCTCACATTCTGGGCCTGGCACATACAACATGCAAGGTAGAAGGAGTCCCCACATTATAAGGGCATTTGGTAACCTTCCCAAGGTCACAAAAATATCAACTAGAAGAGGCCAGAGAGGGACCTGTGTTCTTTCCTCTACTTCACTACCTCTGTCCTGTATCATGCAGCCCAGCCTGTCCTCTGCCAGGGCCTGGCCCAAGAGGCAAGCCACTCATGGCCAGCACCCAGCTCCTCCCCCAGGCCCCAAACCATCCATTCCTGACTCCAGCCTTACTCCCTTCCCTAGGGAGATCTGTCCTGCCAGCCTGGAGAGGAACCATCAGCAGGGCATGACCAGTATGGGGTAAGGAAGGAAGGGGAGGCCCAGGCTAGTCTATGCCTATAGCTGCAAGATCTTTCTCTGGACTTGAGAACCCACCTGATGGCTGATGCTGCCCTGGGGAAAGGGAGGGATAGTGGGAAGGATGCTCTTAAAGGGGAAGATCAGCCTCCCTCCTTGTACCCACAGGCTGGGCGGGAGCCACTTCTTGGTAACAGCAGCTCATTTCGGGTGTGGGAATGGGGGCAAGTCTGGTCTTTGTCCCTCTTCCACTCTGTTTGAGATGGGGGCTTCAGGAGAGAGTCAATAGGTGGGAATAGACGGAGGGAAGGAAGAGAGGTCTAGGCACAAGAGGGCAGGCCTGGGGTTTCTCTCCCATTGAAGCATCAACAGATAGAGACCATACTTGTCTGAGACCTTTTCTGCTTTTTATTTTCCAATACCCTCTCAGAGCCACACAGCCCTGGGATGAGCTTAAACCACTGATTTGAGAGAAATCACAGATGCAGTGTACACATGTGTGCTTGGTGTACATGCAAATATGTACATACGGGAGAGTGTGCCCGCAAATGTATGTGTGCACAAAAGTGTGGGCTGAGGTACAAACAGTACACTGCAGGGAGAAGCCAGAGGTGAGTAACAGTTTCCAGTGCCCGAAGATCTGTGCTCAGCTTCGACTGCTGGTTGTGGGAGACAGTGAGGCTTTCTGTGTAAGGGAAATGCCCAGCCTGGGTACAGAGGCAGCTCATAAATAGCTGGTGTGTCCCATCACCATTAGCATTGCCTGGACAATCACAGCACACAGCATTTGAGGAGAAGCAGACAGCTCCAGGAAGCAGAAGGGCCTGGGCTTCACTCTTCAGGTTGAGCCTGAGATGCAGTCTGCCGAGATGAGAAGTGGGTGTAGATCACTTTGCAGGGCAGGAGTTTTGTATTTCTAGGTGTGAATCCAGCATACCATGGGTGACAGGGCCACTTCCAAAGCTCACAGTCTCATGAGTGATCCTGGGTATGTGTGTGTGAGGGGTCGTGAGGGGGCTGGATGTGTCCCAGAAGAAAAGGAGAGCCCAAGTTGCCCTACATCCTAGGGTCTAGGCTGGGGAGCAGCTCCTTGGTCTGAAAACAAACAGCGCACACCTGTTTAGCCTAATGAATGACCCTGTAGGCACAGTCTCCTCTGTGTTTAGGGTCACCAAGTAGTGAAGGGAGGTTGCATGGAGGGCCAGGTTGTATCCTTGGTCAAGGATGGGCCTTCTCTGAGACTGCAGGCAACTCGGCCTGGAAGGTAGAGCCAGCAGTCTAAGACTGTCTTCAGGATGTCCCCCTGGGATGTCTCCCAGGTTCGCAGGCTCCTGGGGTCCAGACTGAGCTCTCCTCACCTTATCATCCAGTTCTCCTCTTCCCTCCACTCCTCTTCCACATGCCTGCACTCCAGCATCTCCTCTCTCCCTGCTACCTTAAATGTCTCATTCCTTGCCTGTCCCTATAGCAGTGGCTTCCTCTGGTCTCCCTGCAGCTCATTCCATTCAATCTGTCCTTCCCCAGCCACTATAGAGGCTCCCAGTTACCCTACAAAGCTGACCCAGCCTCTATTAGGGCCCCATCTAAGTCCTCCAAGGGCTCCTTGTCCCCCAGCATCATGCCTAGAGACCCCCCTGGCCAGTACCTGAGGGGGTCTTCCCACAGCTCCTACTACCTCCGGCCACTCTCTCTTCTCCTACTTTCCCACTGTCAGCTCCCAGGTTCCCTTTGGTTGCCTCTGAGGTCACAGAACAACACGCTGTTCCAGGACACTGAGTTCCTCTGTGCCCCACTGCATTCGCATGGGCACAGTCTGGACCCCTCGACCCCAACCCCATCCCGCCTGGCAATCCCCCACTTCATCTCCACCTTCCCTGGGGTGCCCTTGAGGACTTGCCTCTGCTTTCAGCACCCTGTGTGCTGATACCTCGATGGCAGTGCTTATCACATGTTAGGTGACTGCTGATGTGCAATCCCTCCCTGCACAGTGCCCCACCCCAGCTCAGTAGTCTCCCTAGGACAGGCATTGTGCCTTTTGTCATTGCCCCACCAGTCTGGGGGTCACAGCCGAGCCTCTGTCCTGGCCTCTGTGTCCATGCACAGTGCCTGGGCTCAGGGCTGGGGAGTGAGTCCCCTTGGGGCTGGAGCATCAGTGGAGGATTCCTGGGATACTAAAGCTAGGGGAGGCAGGGGCTCTACAACCATAGGGAGTAGCCCAGAGCTCCCCCTCTCTGGGACATGCGGGGGAACAGCCTTGGAAAAGGAAAGCAGGAAAGTGTCTCTGGCCTTGGGCTTGCTGGGAAAGCCCAAGAGAGCCCGGGAGCTGGGGGTGTTGTGCTGGTGTGAGTGGAAGGCCAGGATGGGGAGCTGTCAGCTGAGGGGGAGAGGCAGCCTCAGGGCCTGTGCCCATGGCATTTCCAGCATTCCAGAATATGGCCTCTAATCACCATCGACATTCCGTTCCATAGGCACTTGGGCTGACAGCTGGCCTTCTTTTAATAGCCACAAGTATTCTGGGTGACATCCTAATCTCAGGGCATTCATAGCGAGCACATACACAGCTTGCAGCACCCCTACCCAGATATGTCCAGCCTCCCATTGCACACCACATACTTGGTCACATGCACAGCTTAGAGAAGACACATTAGGGTACACTCAATCCCATTCCCTGTGGTGTCACAGTGACAGAGAGCATGTACTGGGAATATGGTCACACACACTTACACACATGCATATACCTGTCATAGGACAGCAAGGCCACCACCACCTGCTACCTATGTGCAGTTAGTCAATCACACACAGACACTCTCAGGTGTAGTCACAGACCACACTCAGGCCTGCTCAGAGCATCTAGGAGTAACAGACCCCCAGGCCTTCCAGGTTGGCAAGGGAAAGCTGGGAGGTACAGAAAGGGGGAGATTCTCAGAGGGCATTGGCCCTGCCCATGAGAACAAGCTCCCCATTTCAGGCCACTCCCTGGGCTACTTGCCTCTATCGACCCCTTTACAGATTGGCAGGTGCTGGGCCCAATCACCTTCCTGGGAGCCTCTGCTTCACATCCCTGGGGCTTGGGAGGGGCCTTGGCTTCCACATCCTCCAGGTCCTGACCCCAGAGGGACGGGCCACTCACTTGCTGCGCAGTCCCCCACGTAGCTGCTGCCTCCGTGTCCGTCCAGCCCTGGGGGAGGTAGGAGAGTCACTGTGAGGTGAGAAGGACATTCTATAGTCTTGCTCCTGCCTTCTTCCCCACGAGGACTTACTCCATCCTCCCCATGATATTCACTGGGGTGAGGCCCATGACACTGCAGGGTTGCTGGTCACCAAATCCCTGCAAACTGTGAGTGCATGTGCCAGGTTATGTGTGTGTGTACATGCTTGCACATACTCGTATACCTTCTAAAGCATGTGGGATGGGTACGTCTTAATGAGGGTCTAGACCTCTGTTAACAGAAAAGATTCACTCCTTGGTGTCTTTTACTACAGTGATTCAGGGAAGGGACCTCTGACAGCTCTTCCCTCAGCCCTTTAACTGAGATTTCCAGGGATGGGGGCAGTGGGAGGTGTTCAGCTGAGGCTCTTGGTGAGGCTCACAGTGGGACCTGTAGGCACAATATGGAGGAGGCCAAGTGTGGCTGGGGATGGGAGCACATGGTGTAGGGAGATCTCCTGGGGACATCAGAGGGCATAATAGCTCCAAGCCCTAAGGAGGGACTGGCAGGCTAGTAGCTCCCAGGACTGACGACAACTATGGGGTTGGCATCTACCCATGGGCACCCTAGCCAGTTTTGGATGTAGGGGTGATTTTCCCCCTTTCAGAGGAGGGGATAAAGGCTCAGAGAGGGTGAGTGACCTGCCCAAGCTCACACAGTGAGCACATGGTAGAACTTAGGCTTGAACCCAGGTGCCCTGACTCTAAGGCCAGTGCTCCTTCCTCTGTATCTTGTGGGCTCTTCGAGGCTCCCAGGAGGAGGGGGCTTAATGCTGAGAACAAGAGGCCCTGAGCTAGCTCCTGTCTGTCTCTCTGGAGGCTCATATGGGGCCAGAAATGCTAGTCTTTTCCATCTGTGGCTCTAAAGGGTAGCGCCAGAAAAGAGATGTCCTAGAGCTGGAAGACCCATGTTTAGTCCTGGCTTTGCTTCTGAGTGATGTTGGGCCAACCCATTGCTTCTCTGGCCCCAGTGCCCTACCTGCCAGAGGTGATGGTGCATGGAAACACTGTAGGGAAGTTGGGAGGGGTTCTTCCAGCCAGCATCCCAGGGTCCTGAGGTTCCCTGAGTCTCAGAGGCAGCCCTGCCTTGAGGCCTGAGGATGGTTTGGTTGAGGAAGAGATGGCCAGCAAGTGAGGGCCCAGCATTCTTACCATCTCACTCTCAGATCCCAGGGATGCCTGGCGCCTCCGTCTGGAGATCCAGCTGAGGTCCGAGGCCTGGCTGCTCAGTGTGGAGCGGTGGGTGGAACGGTAACTGGTGTATGGGCCAGTGTGCTGGCCTGACATGCCCAGCAGCACCCCAAGGCAGGGCAAATGCTGGGCTATGGCCATTCTGCAGGAATGGCACAGCTGGTTAGAGCAGAGGGGATGGACAGACAGACATGAAGAGATGAGGATGGATAGACAAACTGATACAAGGATAATGGAAATGAACTGATAGCCACTGGGGAAAGAGGGTGATTCAGACAGTAGGTTTATGAGGACAGACAGACAGATGATAGAGTGATAGGAAGTGATGAAGAAGGACAGATAGGTGCTGGAGTGAAGGAAACTGACAGGCTTACAGGGCTGGGAATGGACAGAGAGATGCTGGGGCCATGGGCATGGAAGGAGAGCCTTAGGGTAGCAGATCCAGCCAGGTGCTCGGCTCCAGCCCTCAAGTGGCTGGCCCAAGACACATCTCTGTGAATGGGAACCTCTGAGCTGGATGGTGTAAAGCCTGCTGGTCACCTCAGCAGGGAAGTGAGTTACTGACACAACCAGACAAAAGGAAGCACTGAAGCCCCTCTGGTGAGAGAGGCCAGTGTGCTAGGATTCTATCAGCAGAGAGCACTCTGGGCCTGAACCATCCCCAGGGCTTTGCCAGGGCCCTTGAAGTGTAGCTAGCTCTCCCTGTTGTGGTTTCTCCAGGATGTCACTGTCTGGGAGCTTCTCTTTATAGGGGGCAGCACTGCTGATCAGCCAAACTGGCTGCCTTTCATCCTCGGCTCCAAAAATCGCTAGTTAGGGATGGACACTGTCCAGGGAGCCCTGATGTCCCTTCAAGCTGAGCCCCCTGGAAAGCTGGAGCAGCAAAGGTGACACAAGCTCCAAAATCAATCCAGTATCACTGGCTACTCATAGCTGCCAGAGGCTCCCACCCAATGTATATACAAGAGACAGGAAAGATGGTGGATCTCTGCCCCATTCACAGGCCTCCATGGCCATGAGGGTATATCTGGGGACCTGGGACTAGGGCCTGGAGGAGGGCTGCACCTGTACTTGGGGTGGGTGATGGCGTAAATGATGGGGTTGTGGATGGCAGAAGCCTTGGCGATGATGGCTGGCACCGAGTTCATGTAGGGCGTCAGGACATGCGAGTACCTAGAACAAAGAAGCTGTGGTCCCCCTGCCAGCTGGCCCTCCTTGGTGACTCCACAGCCCACCACCCTCTCAGGAATCTTCTTCCTCCAGGCCAGGCTCTGCCAGGGGCACAGCCCAGCCTGGCCCAAACCAGCACGGCCAAGTCAGCCCCATGAGAGAAACTGTAGTGCTGGAAAGAATTCTGATCTGAGGCGAGTGGGAACCCAGAGAGCCATCAAGGGAGAGGCTGGGAGGAAAGTATGCCAGGTTGGGGGTTTCATTGTCCCCTGGAACCTGTGCTGCTGGCAATAAACCTTCTCCACTCCCAATGACCCTCTGCTCAGCGCTTCCCATGCCCCAACCCAAACCTGATGCCCATAGCTCCCCTGGTTCTCTGAGAGTAACTTCACAGGCGGGTCCACCAGGGGACCATTTCTGTACAAGGAGAACTCATACTTAAATACTTCCAAGGATTAATAGCTCTCCCTGTATCAAAAGTGCTTCAGAAGTCTGGCCTACGTCCATGCTGCTGCAAATGTCAAAGTCCTCGGACTCTTGCCACAGAGGACTGGAGAGCAGAAGGTGAACAGAACCACTGGCTGTGTGCCCGGATGAAGAGGGAACCAGAACCTCAGGGAGAGCCATGTATTCCCAAGGGGTCGGGCAGGACCTGGTAGCCCTTACAGGCCCTCAGGCCAAATCCAATGTAACCCAGAGCTCCCCCAGCATGTGTCCTAATGCCTCTAGGAACCAGGCAGGCCCAGCTCTGGTGAATCATCTTACCGCAGGGGGAGAAGAAGGCTGTGAGGCTAGACTTAATGTGTGAGGACAGCTGGCTTCAGCTTGGACTGGGGAGGGAGAGGCTGCCCTAGGGGCCCTTTACCCCTCTCCCACCAATTCAGCCCCCTCACTCAACCCCTTAGCCATTGCTTACCCAGCAAAGGCCATCAGGGCCACAGTGGAGTAGGGGGCCCAGGAGAGCACGAAGAGAAGGATGACCAGCAGTACAATCTTAGCCATTTTCCACTCGCTCTGTAGCCGCTGTCGTTGCCGGGGCAACTCACTGAGGCCCTCGCAGGCCCCAAAAGTTTGGAGAGCCCTAGGAAGAGTGCAGAGTTGGGTCTGGCCCCATTTGAGTTGCAGTGAGTGCCAGGGTCATGGCCACTGTTGGGGAGCCTCCCTGGACCTGGCCATCCCTTCTAGTGCAGGCAGCCTCAACACCCATAAAGTTCTCCATTATATCCAATCTAAGCTGCCTCCCTGGGGTTCCACTGGCGGTATCCTCTCTGCCCCCTAGACCCTCTACATGCCTAAAGGTCCCCTCTTGAGAAGATTGTGTTTCTTGGGGCTCCTGTAGGCACCAGGCTGTGCTGGTCTCTAGGCATCTACCCAATAAGCACAGGTGCTCAGTTTGTCTTTGCCCATCTGGAGCTGGAAATGCCTTGGGGTGGGTACAGATGTGAGCCTCTGGCAAAGGGGCATGACCCCTCTCCCATCTAGCCCCTCCTCCGTGCCCAGCTCTTACTGGCCTGTCTCCCGGATAGCCCTGAAGATGAAGATGTAGCAGTAGATGATGATTAGCAAGGGAAGGAAGAATACGAAGCAGAAGAGCAACATGGTGTAGGCACGAACTGATGGTGTGAAGCTCATGTAGTCCCAGGAACAGGAGGTCAGCAACCCCTCGGGCACATAGGCACCTGGGAGCCAGGGGCAAGTGCTCAGTGTTCTGGATTGCGCTGACTTGGGCTTCTCATTCAGCAGGGACTTTGGACGTGCGGTCTGGGATCTTAGAACACTGGCCCTAGCCCCAGCCCTGCTCAGTGCAGGGAGGAAGCCAAGGCACATGAAGGAGAACTTGCCAAGACTGTTCTGGCAGGGACACCAGCTCAGGAGACAGCTGGCAAAGCCCACTGCTGCCTGTTCTTGCCAGTTTGGAGCAAAGACTTCACCAGAGCCCCAGGGTCCTACTCCCCCAGGTTTCAGCCAGCTTCCTGGTCCCACCAGGAAGGGTTTTACCAGAAGGGTGGGTGCCTTGCTGCTAAACTTCGTACCTGATGAGGCCTCACACCCAACCCGTCTGACTTACTGCAAACTCAGTATCAGATGGACTTGTCACTTCCCACCACCCAAGAACCATGTCTTCCCCTCTGTATTGAGGGATGGGAGCCCACGTCATTCTCTGATAGCTGATGGTGCAGCTTCAGTATTCCCTGCTGCTAGTCATACCCCCTGATTGTCGACGTGCAGTGAGGCTCAGGCAGTTCCCTGACCCCTCCTGCCAGCCGGTCAACCCAAGTCTACCAACCTGCCCCTCGAACATGCCCCTCCCAGACTATCTTCCCCTCCTCCAATTCCCCCAGCCCACTTACTCCAGCCAAAGAAGGGTGGCAGACTCCAGGCCAGGGCGTAGAGCCAGACACCCAGCAGAACAAGCGCTGCCCGCCTCTTGGACACCACCCCGATGGCAGCCAGTGGGCGTGTGATCACCAGGTAGCGGTCCAGGGCGATAGCCGTCAGGGTAATCATGGAGGTGATGCCAAAGAGAGCACCACAGAAGGCATAGAACTCACAGCCTGTGGGCACAGCTCCTTGACCTCAGCCCTTGGCAGGAGACCATCATGTATTCCAAGGGAGAAAGGGTCTGAGGATGGCATGTATTTGGCTCCTGCCCTCACCTCTAAGAAAAGCAGCCTGAGGCCCTCTGCACCTTGCCTACTTGCCACATCTGGCAGAGGCTGGTGGAGGCCTCAGGACTGAAACCTGAGTCTTCCCTGTGGCTCATTCACGGGATGAGGACAGCTACCCAATCCCTGCCAAGGAAGAGTAAATCACCTCCTCATCCAGGCCACCCCGCATCATGGGTGGGCATCCGCTGCCATAAATCTCCCCCTCCCACCTCCAGCAAAAGGGAGCCCTGAGTGTCTACCTGCCTGCCCAAAGAGCCACCGCTTATAGAGGCTGCTGATGAAGACGACGGGAGCCTGGGTGAAAGACATGAGGAAGTCGCTGACTGCGAGGTTGATAATGAACATGTTTGCAGGTGTCCTGAGGCCTCTGCTCCTGTGAGGGGTCAGAAGCTGTCAGGAGGTGCTTCTGCTGGGGAGCCTCCCTCTATTACACATGCACACATGCACACATGCACATACACACACATGGACATGTACACACAGGCCCATGCACATGCACCCTTATGTATGCACACAGACACGAGCTGCTGGGCCATCTGCTGCCCAGCAAGTACTAGCCAAACAGCTCTGATGCCTGGCAGTGCAGTCTGAGAATTGAGACCCTTATCTTTTGAGGGTGGTTCCCTCAGAATGAAGCGGAGAGCAATATCTCTCCAGGGCTGCTGCTCCGCTCAGCAGAAGCTGTGTTTTTTGTGGCATCCATTACTTCTTTTCACCTCTGTATCTCCTCTGCATGACCTATACTCAATCCTTGGACACACCCTCATTTTTCTGAGCCCCTCAAGGCGAAGTTCTCCCAAGTGTCTTCTCCCTAGGCTCCTCTTTCCATGTGCCCAGACTGTGCCTCCTCCCTCTGGCAGCCTTCTCATCTCCATTCTTCCAGTGTCGTGGTCTGGGCCCTGCTCAGCACAACTATGTCTGCATTCCTCACCGTCAGGGGTGGCAAAGGGCAATGGAACTGAGGATTATGCTCCATGGACTAGGTTCCTTCATAAACCTTATCTCCTGTAGCCATCCATCTTCATATCTACTCCCGCCCCCATTTTCCAGATAAGTTCACTGAGGCTCTCACTCATGGTGTGGTTTGCTCCAGATCATAAAACTCAGCAAGTGGCACAGCCAGGATTCAAACACATTTGCTAGGCACTGCATTACATGAACTTAATCATTACATTGACTCCATGAAGTAAATCACAACGCCATTTTGCAGACAAGATACGTGGTCTCAGTGAGGATAAATGACTTGCCCACAGTCATTTCAGCTAATAGGTGATAGAGCCTGGGTTTCAATTCTCTCCCTGCCTATCTCAGCCATTCAGCCTACAAATAGGGCAGGTGTGGAAGGAAGGGGTGGTTGCTGAGGGGCTTGAGGACTCAGGGCTGCTCTTTGAGGCATAGAGAGGATGCACCTGCAGAAGGTATAGATGACCGTCAGATTGCCCAGCATCCCTGTGAGCCCCACCAGCAGGATCACTGTGCCTAGGGTGTAATGGGCGTGGTCCGGAACATCGACTGTGGGAAAGGGGACCCAGGCAGCAGCCTGAGATCCAGCTGCCTGTAGAGAGATAGAGAAACAGGGCATCACGTAACCCTGTCACCTTCAAATAGTCCTAAGAAAGAGGGGTTAGGGTTCCCGGTGTGGAAGGTGTAGAAACTGAGGCTCAGAGTGCCAAAGTCACTTACCCACATAGCTAGAAAGTAGCTGAGCTGGAAAGGAAATGTAGGTCTTCCTAAAGTTGAGCCCAAGCTCCTAAACCATGGCACAAAGGCCTAAGGCTTATAGGAGTGGGCTCAGATCACCTGTTGGAGGCTGGTAGAACAGACCGACATGTCTGGCAATTGGGGACTCTACCTTTCATTGAGGGGAAGGCAGAGCCAACCCTTAGATGGGTTCCTCTCTGCTATATGGGCCCTGTCCCAAGTGCCAAGGCAGTCAGCAATAGTATTCCAGGCACCCTCAACTCTGGGATGGAGGAGTGGGGTGGAGTTCCTCTCCTCTGAGATGCCATGCCCTCCCAAGTTTCAAAGAAGTGGTTGTATTCTCCTAGAATATATCTGGGTAGGACGGGTATGAAAGAGGGAAAGAATTCCCCTTTATAAAGAAAGTTTAATGATATCACTTATATGTGGGATATAAACCTAAAAGCAACAAATGAACAGGACAAACAGAGACTCATGGACATGGACTATAGACTAGTGGTTACCAGAGGGTAGGGGGTCGGGGGAGAGGGGAGGTAGACGGGGTAAAGGGGGTCAAATATGTGGTGATAGAAAGAAATCTAACTATGGGAGGTGAACACACAGTGTAAATATATATAATGCCTTATTGTTAAAGTGTATAGCTGAAACTTATTGGATTTCATTAACCAATGTCACCATTAAAAAAAGGAAGAAAGAAAGGAAGGA